CCCCACAGCCAATGCCAGCCCTCACCCCCAGCCCAGCCAGGACATCTAACCTAGCCCTGCTCCAAGGGAAGCAGGAAGAGCCCCTCCCGTGGGGGGCACTGTCCCCTCTCCCAACAGCCCTCCCCCTATGGCAAGGACCCCCTGGGCCAGGCCCAACTCTGGCAGGGGGACCGCTGCCACTCAAAAGAGGCTCATCTGCCCTCCACACAAACAGGAGGGACACTGGGATGGCCCTAAACCTTTATCCCTGGTTTTTAAGTAGCTGCAATTTTTAAAAACTTAAATATACTGCTTTGCACTGTGTGCCATTTCAATAGGATCATTTTTTAGTGGAGTGAGCATGGACTTTATTTTGTTTTTTTCTAATATTTTATTAGAAAAAATTTCAAACATACAGAAAAGTTGAATTGTCTAATGAACACTCATATACCCACTACCTAGATTCTACAACGAAAACTTTACTATACTTGCTTTATGATATATCTTTCCATGGTGTATAGGGTATTTTGAGTGTTCAATTTTTACTTGTTTTTGTTCTATTAAAAATAAGATACTCTGTTAACCCAGAACTAAAACCATTACCGAAGCCCACTCTTCAGACAAAGACTAGACTGGACTATAAAACATAAAATAATACTCGTAAAGAGTGTGCTTCTTAGTTCAAGTAGATACATGAGACTAAATGGGCAGCTCCTGTCCAGAGGTGGGATGAGAAGGCAGAAAGGGATAAAAGCTGGTTGAATGGACACGGGAAACGCAGAGTGGAAAGGGGGAGTGTGCTGTCACATTATAGGGAAGGCAACTAGGGTCACATAACAATATGTGTATAAATTTTTGTATGAGAAATTAACTTGAACTGTGAACTTTCACCTAAAGCACAATAAATAAATAAAATAATAATAAGATAGCTGGAGTGCAGCGGAAAGTGTGCAAGACTTGGAGTCAGATGTCCTGGGTTTGACTCCCAGCTCTACCACTTGCTACCTCCATGGTGCTTCACAAGTCATATCTTCTGACCCTGTTTCCTCATCTACATATTGGGGGCTACAGCAAACCAAACCCACTGGCTTCATGAGAACTAATCAAGACTATGAGTGTGAACCCCTCCACAAGCGTCCAGGCCGGTATTTGTTATGGGCTAAGACTTGGGATTTTCCACTGTTTGGGGATTACACTTTTTTTTTTTAAACATAGCAGAAATCATATGTACAAGTGTTTTTTGTTTACAATTTGGGAAACAGAATAACATGTTAACATAACCAAAACCAAACCCATTGCCATCCAGTGGATTCTGACCCATGGCGACCCTACAGGACAGAATAGAACTGCCCCATAGGGTTTCCAAGGCTGTAATCTTTACGGAAGCAGATTGCCACATCTTTTTCCCGTGGAACAGCTAGAGGGTTCAAACTGCTGACCTTTTGGTTAGCAGCCAAGTACTTAACCATTGTAATACCAGAGCTCTTTATGTCCATCTATAGGACATTAAAAATGACTTCAAAGACCATGTAGTCACATTTTAAAAATGTTTTTGGGTTGCAAAAATACTGATTGTAATTACATATAAGTAAATGCACACATACACACAAATTGGCATGAAATACAATTGCCCCCCAAATTATTTGCAGGACCAGACCAAAAAAAAAAAAAAAAAGTCTATTTCTTTCAGGTAAGGAAAGATGTTTCACTCCTGATCTTTCCTGTTGCCTTAGCTGCTTAAAAAGCTTGAGACAAAGCTCCAAGCTCAACTGTAGTAGCTCTCCTCAAACCTAGATTTTTTTTTTGGATAATTATTCTCCACTCTCCCACATACAACCCCTTCTCCCCAATACTGGGGAATAATTTACCTAATTATTTCTTTATCAGCCAAGAAAATCTGTGTACAGTGTCTTTCCCTCTTCGCTGTGGCTCCCAAGGAAGCTCAGAGCGAAGTATCTCCCTTCGACCTAGGTTTCTGGTACAATGTAATTATTCTTCTCTCTACATAACCCCAAACCCCTTAGATTCCTTAGCTCTTGTTTTTTCAATCCAATTTTAATGGGTTTTTTCCTTGATTGTAGTACGCATTTTGTTATAGCTAAATCAGGTGGATGCTTTCTAAACCGCTGTCCTAGAGCATCTGCGTTGAGTGGGGAGGAGGTCTGAGGCCCAGCCCTCTGCATTGGAGGAGAAGAGATGCCAGAGATTCTTTTTTCCCACCACCCCCCACCCCTGCCCCGAAGCCTCAGACAATGCCCAGGTGTCCAAGGCCAGGTTCGTGCTCACTTACTCAGCCTCTTCCATGGCCACAGGGCATTTGTACTGGGCTGTGTTGAAAAGGCAGATGTCTGCATACTGGCGCACTGGCGTGAGAGAAGGAAACGGGGCATGAGCCAAGGTGCAGCTCCCAGAGGCATCCCAGGCTCCCCCAGGTGGGGGTGTTCAGCCCCAGGCAATGGCCAGAGTTCACAGGGGCTTCCAGAGGAGACCTCCCCAATCCTGTACCCACAGGGCAACCCCAAACACACCCACCCCCTTCCATAACCAAAAGGACAGCTTTGCCCAGAACCCAGGGCACCTAAGAGGAGAGGCAGCTTACCTGGCCAATAAGCAGCCTGCGTTATAGCCTCAAAAGCCTGACCCTCGGGCTCAGAGAAGGCCCTGGGCTTCACCCCCGGCCAGTAGCTATTTATAAGGCTGTTAAAAG